GGGGGGGGGGGGGGGGGGGGGGTGATGTGTGGGAAATATATGACATTGTTAAACCGTTAAAGTTCCTGATGGGGAGGTATGGAAGATGACACTGGAAAATGGGCAGTGAAGCCAGGTGATGGCAGAACTGGGGTGCTGTTCTAAGGGGCTTAGGCTTTATTTTACTGGCAAAGAAAAGTCTCCATAGAGTTTTGGTTTGGGAGGTCATAGTATTAGGTTGTCAATCCAACTGGATATTAGTTCCAGGACAACTTCGGGGGAGAAGCGCCCAGGGACTATGGCCTTGGCCAGGGTAGAGAGGATGAGTATCTAAAAGAAAAGAGTATGAAGTCAGTCTAGAGAGAAAGACGGAGACACAGGAGGAACATGGCCAGGACTTAACCATTCACAACCAGGAGAAGCAAGGAAGAAGAAGGAATAAAAAAAAAGATGTGACTAGGCCATCTGTTGAAGGGTTCCGAAGGGCTAAGCATATTTTTAACAATAAAAACTATTTCTCGGGAACTATTAAAACGTGTTCACGTGTATATGATGACATACCTTGATTCCTGTTAATTCAGTTTATAAATTTTTCCATGGTTCTGCCTTATTCGAGTGTCAGAGTTGGCTTCTTACTGGCATTGTTAGGCCTTTCTTGGAAGGACAATTAACAGGAGAACTGACCACCTGTGACTTTATTGCAAGTAAAATGCTGTAAAAGAATGAAACTGGGCCGGGCACAGTGGCTCAAGTCTGTAATCCCAGCACTTTGGGAGGTCGAGGTGAGGGGATTGCCTGAACCCACGGGTTCGAGACCAACCTGAGCAACTTGGTGAGACCGCATCTCTACAATAAATCAAAAATTGGCCGGGTGTGGTGGTGCATGCCTGTAGTTCCAGTTACTTGGAAGGCTGAGATGGAAGGATCACCTGAGCCCAGCAGGTCAACACTGGGGTGGCTGTGAGCATACTACTGCACTCCAGCCTGGGCGACAGAGTGAGACTCCAACACAAAAAAGAAAAAGAAAAAGAAAAGAATGAAACTAGACGTCCTATTTTTGTTTTTTGTTTTTGTTTTTGTTTTTGAGTGGGAGTCTCACTCTGTCACCCAGACTGGAGTGCAGGGGCCGCTCCCAGCCACTGCAGCCTCAACCTGCTGGGCTCCGGCAATCCTTCCGCCTCAGCCTTCCAAGCAGCTGGAACTACAGGCACGTGCTACCATACCCGGCTGATTTTTGATTTATTGTAGAGATGAGGTCTCGCCAAGTTGCCTAGGCAGGTCTCGAACCCGCGGGTTCAGGCAATCCACCCACCTCAGCCTCCCAAGGTGCGGGATTACAGGCTGAGCCGCCAAGCCCGGCTGAGGTCCTATTTTGTAATGTTAAATGATATCACATGATAGGGTGACAATAAGGACTGTAACATAACCCATCACTGACACTTAAATAACAGGCACCTTCCACGTTCCCCCAGCAATATCTTAATCTCAACTGAGCTTCCCGGACATGATTTAAGTTTCTCAATCTGCCATAAACTGGCAGATGAGTTTCCTTTTTTGACCCTGTTATGGCATGATTAGAATGGTGTAGGGGGTAAATCCATCCACACTCATGTGTTCCTCTCTCTTTCTACATCCGGTTTGCATGCCTGTCCACATTCCACGTCCACAGTATATCCAAAAGAGGGTTAGCAGCCCACGTAAATCACACCTTATTAACAAAGTTCACATACTCTGTCTCACTTGGTCTTTACCTCTCTTCATGTGACCGAGTTTCTGACTTTACAGAATTTAAAAGGCTCAAAGAGTTAAGTGACTTGTCTGCATCCAAGCCTTGTACTGGAGAAATACCCACCCAGTGAACCACTTCTCACTTCCATATGCCTTTTGTGTGTCTTGGGTCTCTTGCCTCCCAGTGAATGAGGCTTGTGTATATTCCAAGCATAACTTTCATTTTCATGCGTTGGTAGAATAGGTCTTTAAAACTATCTGGTGACACTATATTCTGCCTAACAGCTGTTTTTAATGTCTCTCTAAAGTGAAAAGGTGAAAACCATTCTCTTTTCTCTTTATAGATTTTGATTTATGGAAATGAATTTGACAAAAGATTCTTTGTGCCTGCTGAAAAAGTCGTGATTAACTTCATCACCCTCAATGTTTTGGAGGATTCTAAAATTTCTCAGAAGGAAACAGGTGTACTGGAAAAAAGCAGTGATGCATCCAACCTTGATGATCCCAAGCCCGGTGGGAACCCTGAGCTCCCTCCCAAGGAAATGGAGGTGAAACAGTTAGGGTATGCTTCACATTTGGTGGAAATTTTCTGTGACTCTGAGGAAAACACCAAAGGAACCTCCCTCTCCCAGCAAGAGTCACTCAGCAGATCAATACCCACAGAGAAAATAGTCACTGAATATGAATATGATGTAAGAACCACCAACAACTGTGTGGGGCCCAAAGCACAAGAGCTCAAACTGCGGGAGGAGGTGTCTATACAAGGAAACTTATTCAAGCAGCAGGCAGTTTTGGCAAACTTGGGCCCACAAGCACTGCTGTATTCATACACTCCTCAACTCCGAGACTTAGATTACCTGGCACGGAAGCGCATAGACTCAAAAGAGGAACCAGAGGAAGAGCCATCCACAACACTGGTCGATTGGGACCCTCAGACGGGCAGGCTGTGTATACCTTTGTTGTCTAGCTTTGACCAGGACTCAGAGGGCTGTGAGTCTCCTAAGGATGATGGACTCACCACAGAGGGCCTTTTGTCTAGACTCTATGAGGAGCAGGCTCCAGACAGGCCATCGGAAGAAAATGAAACCTATCTCATGCAATTTATGGAGGAATGGGGGTTATATGTACAAATGGAAAACTAATGCCAGGCCATCCTTTGCCAGACTCCTACCGCGAGAGGGCACCTAGGTGCAAACCAAGGAGTGGCCCAACAATAAAGCACCTGGGATAAAAGAAGTGTATTCAGAGTCCTCACTGTCAGTGAGAATTATTTATTTTTCTATTTTCATAGCACAGGTTTAGTCCTGCTTCCTACGACATAGTTGGTTCACGTGTGCAGGTCTCTTACAATGGGGGTGGGCACCGGAGTGCAGTGGCTGGCCTGTTGTTTTACATGAAGTAAGCAACCCATAAATGTTTGCCAGATCAGGTGCAGAATTTATTCTGGTGGGTATACTCTGGCCTCTTTGTTTTTATTTTATTTTGTTTTATTTTTTGGAGGGGGGTTTTGAGTCAGAGTCTCACTTTGTCACCCAGGCTGGAGTACAAATAGCTGGGACTACAGACATGCACCATCATAGAAGGCTCTTTTTTTTTTTTTTTTTTTTTAGAGAGAGAGAGATAAGGTCTCCTCACACTCCTGGTCTCAAGCTATCCTCCTGCCTCAGCCTCCAAGTGCTGGGATTACAGGTGTGAGCTACGACACCCGGCGTTCATTATTTTCACGCACACATCTACAGCTAATTTCTGAGAATTTACTATATATAGCATTCTATAAAATATTTCATAGATTAATTTTAAACTTTTAATCCTTTTTATGCATTTTGCACTTTTTCAGAATTTGGTTTATTGTGAGAATGAGGAGATCCTTAAAACATACTCATAGCACTAGGTCAGTCGTAACTTGATCACATGTAAAGCTCTCAACCCACTGTTCAATCATAATAATCCATGCTTAAAGTGAATAAATCAGGCACAGGCCTCCATGATATCACACACTTTCAGCTACTATAGTTAACATTTCATAAGAAGCTCTGGAGCGTAAACATAAATTATTATTCTTTTGTCATAAAAAAGTCATCTCAATAATTTAGTAGGGGTTTGTTGCTGTCCTTCAAAATTAACCTAAAAGAAAATGTCACATTTTATAGTAGAATATGACATTTATTTCTGAAAATGTGTTTTCAAAAATATAGTTGCATTGTTCTATAGACTAGAAAGTGTTCAACAGTTGAAGCACTGTGTTACTATTATAATATTAAATATTCTGTTGGAATGGGCAGGGCCTCACTCTTTGGAATATCTATGAATGAATATCCTCTGTCTACATAATATTAAAACTAATAAATAAGGCCAAGACAAACAAAAAAGTTAAATGAATATATGAGGGAGAGCTTATCAGACATAATTTGCTGTGAGAGCTAAAGTAATCATAAAACATTACTTTTCTAGTTCAATTTCAGTAATACTTTCCATCTCCCTTATCTTATGTTAAGAAAATCAAGTTCTTCAGTCACATTGCATTAAAATGGGATAGAATCTGTCAAGTTGAACCATGGAAAATTGTTGATGTTTGGCTGTTTTTAATCTGCAGAAACAGCATCTTCATGTGGTCTGCCTTAATATATATTTGTTTTACTCATGAACTTACAACCCACTGATGCCTTTTCAGGGAAACAGATCGTCATATTTCCTCTTTTATATTTTTGGCACAGGCAGATAGCCTTGTAGGAGAGATGGATTCTGGGGTCATGATCTTTTGCGACTGTCCACAAATCCAAACAATTTTGGATCTAATGGCTTAATTTAGAGAACAATTATATGAATCAGAGTGTTCTGTTCCTCTCAATCTTTATAGAAACAACTCTGCCCATTTTGAAGAGCAAATATATAACAGTAACTGTAAAAAAAAGTTTGGGAATGGGAAGGAATGAGCTATTAAGTGAGAAAGGAAAATCAAGTGATCACTTGAGACCAGGAATTCAAAGTTGCAGTAAGCTGTGATCAATCCACTGCACTCCAGCCTACGGGACAGAGTGAGACCTCATCTCTATTTTTTTTTTTAAAGCAAAATCAAGAGCAGACCTTTCTTAACTTCATTTTTCTTACAAAGTACAATAGTAATTTGCTTTCTTCTTTGTGCCTTCAGATTGAAATCCTTCAGCAGTTGAAATCATATTTTCTGTCTTTGTAAAGGGGACTCTTAATTCGGAGTTGCTTTTATATCTCTTGTCATTCCAAGCACATCAAAAGTATTGTGCCTTCTCTAATTTTGCTGCTTAAGTATTTTGGAACATATGAGGGAGACCAAAAAACAAACAAACAAAACACCCAAGGAATCATCTTTTGGAGGGTGGGCCCCTTGTCTGCAAGTTTTTCTCGCTATGTGAGTGACCCGTCTACATCAGTGTACCAGTTAGTGCTGTTGTGAGAGGCTGTGTTTGGCTTCAGTGAATTTTTTAAAGAGATTCTTTCAGTGTGTTTGCCCATTTCATGTCGGGTGGTTTACGAGCGCACCTGCCCAGTCCACGCTGAGTATTCAGCAGCTTTTGACCAAAAACGGCTTGACCCCCGTGCCCCACCCTCCCTATTCAGTCAATCTCGCCCTGAGTGGCTTCTTTTGTTTCCCCAGTGAAAAAAGTTCTCAAAGGGAAGTGTTTTGCCGATGTGGAAGAGGTGAAACAACAAACAGCAGAAGCACTAAAAGGCATCAAGATGATGAGTTCCAAAACTGTTTTGAGCGTGGAAAAAGCATCTCCATAGGTGTATTGCATCAAACAGAGAGTAGTTTGAAGGTGACTGAAGTTTCCACATGTAAGAAATACACAATTTTTTATAAAAAATAAATTTTATTTTGGGAGTCCCCTCTTGTATATACATTCATACACATTCAAACATGAGCATAAAATACATATTTCTCATGAGGGGAAGTGACATCTTCTTAGATGTGGTACATCTGTGTGGGAAGCAGCCATCATGCGTCCTGTTCTTTCTGTGGTCAGGCCTCACCAGCTCCAAGAAGTCGTCCTCTGGTCCTCTTTAGGTTCCAACCCTGAAGGTTTGGGTGGAGCTGAGAAATTCAAGTTTCAGAGTCTTTAACAAGTACAGTTGTCTCTGTATCCATTAGGTCTGCAACCACAGATTCAAGAAACATCCGGGAAAAAAAAATCCACAAAGTTCCAAAAGCTAAACTTGAATTTTCTGCACTCTGAGTGCTACGTTGAATCCACACAAATGAAGTGATGTGTAGGCATTGTATTAGGTACTACCATCAATCTAAAAAGATATAAACTATATAGGAGAATGTGCATAGGTCATCTGCAAATACTACACCATTTTATCACAGGGACTTGAGCTTCTGTGAATTTCGGTATCTTACGGGGTCAACTATATTATTCATCCTATTACTGGTCATTGCCAGAATTTTACACCTAGGTAAGTTTCCTTGTGGAAACATCTATTAGTAGCTCAATTTCAGTACCCCATAAAACCTAAACAGTTGCCTGGGCTCGGTGGCTCAGCCTGTAATCCCGTGCTTTGGGAGGCCGAGGTGAGTGGATTGCCTGAGCCTGCGGGTTCAAGACCTGCCTGGGCAACTTGGTGAGCCCTCATCTCTACAACAAAATCAAAAATTAGCCGGGCGTGGTAGCGCGCGCCTGTAGTTCCAGCTACTTGGAAGGCTGAGGCGGAAGGATCACCGGAGCCCAGCAGGTCAACAGAGTCTGGGCGACAGAGTGAGACTCCAACTCAAAAAAAAACCACTTAAACAGTTGGTGAATGAAAATCCACCACTATAAAGAGAGTGAAACCTACTATACATCTTGCCCATGGGATGGAAGTGAGAGAAGTAAACTCGTCCCCACAACCTATAACATGGGAAAGATCTGGTGACCCTCAGGCTGAGCTCAACTGAAAGGAAATAAGTGCAAAGAAAAAACTATTTGGACAGCCCAGAGCACAAGTCCGCCAGCATGGTCAATCTAATGAGAACATTAAACAGAGGACTTGATCACCATGGATGAGTGCACCTGGGTCATAAATCAAATTCTTTCTGGTCCACACATTACCACCCCCACATCTTACAGATGAATTTTTGCTAAATTATCTCAAAAGAATTGTTTTTCTGTGTTGCCTTTTTAATTCCCTGAATATCTTCCATAAATCTTCCATCTACAGTTTTTTTTTCAAAGACTTTGCTCAAAAGCATGTTCCTATAATTTTTTAAATGCATAATGATGTGGTTGTATTATTTTTAATAGTTTCTTTTATTTTTATTATCAAGAACATAATATATACATACACATGTTCATTGTAGAGTAACTAGAAATAAATGGCAGAGTGAGGGGAGACAAATTACCCATAATACTCTCACCAAGGTTTCATCACTAAACAGAATAGAGTAATGATTCTCAACTGGAGAAAATTTTGTCTCCCAGGACATATTTGGCAATGTCTGGAGACTTTTTTTTAAGTCAGGGTCTCACTCTGTTGCCCAGGCAGGAGTGCAGTGGCATGACCATGAGATCATGGCTCATAGCAGCCTCAACCTCCTTGGCTCAGGTGATCCTTCCTCTCAGCCTTCCAAGTAGTTGTAACAATTGTGTGCTACCATGCTGGGCTTGTTTGTTTGTTCATAGAAATGAAGTTTTGCTCTATTGCCCAGGCTAGCTCGAACTCCTGGGCTCCAAGCCAATTTGGTCTTCCAAAGTGCTAGGATTATAGGCTTAACCCATCGTGCCCAGTCTGCAGATGCTCGTGATTGTCACAGCTCAGGGAGGGTGCCACTGATGTCTAGTGTGGAAAGACCAGGAGTACTGCTAAACATCCTACTACACACAGGGCAGCCGCCATAGCAAGGTATCATGCAGCCCCAAATGTCAATAGTGCCTAAACTCTAGTGTGGAACTTTCCAGATACTTGCATTGCATGTATGTATATTTTTTTTCCCCAAAAGGAAAAAATCATATTGAAATCTTTCGAAACTTGCTCCTTTTGCTAAAAAAAAAATAACTATCTTAAGTATAGATTCAGTTTATGATGCACCAGTCTTACCCAAAGTAGAGCTTTTGAAACAGCCAGTTATTTTTTTTTCCTATATCTATAATACCTTAAAATTTGGGGGGGGGGGCAAACAGTAACCAAAATTTGAGTTATTAAGA